GGTTTTAGTGGTTTACAAGGACAGACATTTGTATAATGACGGGTATGATCTAGGTATTACAATATTGAGGTGGTTTACGAGGACATTCCATGTGTCTTTGTAATTCAAAATGCTTTAAAAAAACATGCTTAATGTTCAAAACTTGAAACAGGTTTCCTGTGAGGGTTGAGTGTAGTGGTAGGGCCATAAGAATGTTTTTTAGTCTATAAAATACCTTACACCTATGGAAAGTCCTTGTAAACCACTAATACCAACTGTGTGTGTCTCTGCAGGGCTGTGGACTGATTAATTTCAGCCTGAGTCTGATTCATCACAGCCGGTCACCTGATTGCACTTTAAATAGGTGCTCCTCTCGAGAAGCCGTTCAGATGCCATTCAGGCAAAATCCATCTCCCAAGGACAGTCAAATCAGTTCCTCTGCTGCTCCCTGTATTGCTTATGAACTCACACATGATGACCAGGAGACTGTTTGACTGCATTTCAGCAGGGTCCGAGGGAAATGTTTCTTCTGTTGTCATAGTTAATCTTAATATGTGTTGAAACATAGCTAACACTTAAATTAATATTTCATTCACCAATTAATAAAAAAGAACAAGTAATCTTTGTGATCAAAACTTTTTTAGGAATATGAGACTTCGGTTTATTCCAACTTTTTAGAATAAGAGACATTAATAAAATTGTTTTTAAATACTTACCCACATATCGTTCCATACCACTGAGACGAAAATCGCGATTCTTTTTGCCTAAAATAAAGATCACGATCTTCTCACGATTCTGTATATATAAAATAAAGATTATTTATGAGTGGGCTATTATGATTGTTATTCTCAAACATGTGGTAAAACAGCAATATGCTTTTGTAGATGTACTGTTGGTTAAAATGCTATATTTTGTATAGACTTGGAATGGTGGACTTGAACAGACTTCAGATTTGTCCTGGTCATTAATGCTGATGATAATTCTGATGTTGAATTGTGTTAGAGACATATGCTTACAATCTGTAATTTTCCGCTTAAAATCTGTCACTGACATAATTTGCGTGAATACAGAAGACTGGGCGGGTATTTTTGCATTTCGACGGGTTTCGGATACTGTTTGGGCTGGAATCAGTCAGATATATTTGGCAACACTGTGTGCGCTTTCGGTTTCATTTACACTGCTAAGAACGGGTTACTTCCTGCGCGGCTCCCAAACGATCACTCTGTGCCACAAACTGAATGTTATTTACAACTTTATTACCTGTTATTCACAGTCTATGCAGGTTCTGTTTACTAAAGTAGACTTCATTCAGAGGCACGTGCGCGCCCACCCTCTCTGTGGTAACAGCTAGCGGTCAGTTCACGTCACATGTGATTTTGCGTTCGCAAAATCATTACATGAAGACAGAAATGACATTTTTGAGGTGAATTAAATCTTATAAATACACCATGTGACTCTTTCAACATCATTTGGAGGTGTCCACGTTGCTGAACAACGTATGTAAAACAATGTGAAGACATTTCTGCGAACCGAGAAATATGTGCTGGTTCACTCTATAGCTCACCACAAATCGATCATTCAGTCCTTCATTTTCCTTTGTCTCAATTTATCAGGGGTCACCACAGCAGAATGAATCGGCAACTATTCCTGCATATGTTTTACGCAGCGGATGGCCTTCCAGCTGCAACCCAGTACTGAGAAACAAAGTGATCATATAACAAGATATTACATTATTTCTGGTTAATGGTAAATATAATGATAAATAATCTGAAGGTTAATGATTGTATAACAAAGTCCCTGAGGTGCTGTTCTATTTCTTCGTCTAAAGCAATGGTCTTAAACTCAGTTCCTGGAGGCCCGCAGCTCTGCATAGTTTATCTCCAACCACCTCCAACTTACACCTTACTTCTTTAGTAGTCTTGAACACTTTGGTTTGTTGGATCAGCTGTTTTTGATTGGGGTTGTTCAGAGCTGCGGCCCTCCAGGAATCGAGTTTGAGACCTACGGTTTATAGTTCGTTTAGGCTGTGTTTCCAGCATTTTCCTGAGAATTGTTTTTTCATTTAAAATAAAAAAAACAGCCATATAAATTCCTGCCTGAAAAGACTATTTCCTGCATTACTACAATATCTAACTTTTATAACAGCTTTCACTTTGTGCATATATTGTCTAAAAGATTTGAAGTCTGCTTTAAAGGTTTTTTACAAGGTCTCATTTTTTTTATCTGTAAAACAACAGATATGATAAAAAGAACAAAATTGAAAAAAAAAAAAAAAAAAGATTGGGAATAGTTTGGAATCCTGTCATCATTTCACTCATCTCCATATCTTTCCAAATCTGCTAGACTTAGACTTAGACTAAGAGTTCCTAAGACTTAGGATGAATAAAAAGTGAGATTTTTTTGTGTTACATTGCTTTATGAAAGGTTCAATCTATTAATAATAACATTGTCAAAGTAATCCCTCACACAGGAACACAAATAACACCACATTGTTAATTCCAGGCCTTTTCCACATTGTTAAAAAACACTACAAGTCTGCTCACAAACACAGTCCTTCCCACCACCAGTTTTGTGTTAATGGTTTCTGCACGTTTATAAGCTGATAATACTCCGGCACATGACAGCATTGTTTTAACAAATTTATATTTCTGCAGTTTACGCAAAGATTATAGGTTTGTGCTGTCACAATACTGGAATTTGATCCAGCGCCTTGAAAATATTGATATTTGAAACAATTTTCAATGCCATTATAACCCCTTTAACTTGCACTCTGAGAAAAAGACCAATTTCATCATAAATTGTGTTCCTGACACCACTCCATATAATGGAAGTAAATCTGGTGCTGTTTGTCTCAGTCCATATCACATTCTAGGAAGCCAAGTTGATTCTAACAATAATCACAATAATTTCACTGACTATTTAGTGAAAAAAAGAATATAATAAAAATGATTGTTGTTTTCATTGAGTTGAGTGGGAAAGTATGTGTATATTATATAATATAAAAATAAATGAATTTTCACATTTCTCAATCCCAATTTACAACCAATGGCACAAATAAACACAACAGAACAAATAAATAAATCAATACATAAATTAAAACACGAATAACAATCATTTTTCAGAGTGTTTTGTGTTTTCTTTGTTCATCTTCATATATAATTATATATATATATATATATATATATATATATATATATATATATATATATATATATATATATATAATTTTTTTTTACTTATTATATTACCGTGCTTGCATAGCAGTGTATTTTAACATGATTTTACATTTATCAGTTCAAGTTAGTGCAGGAGTACAAAAAAACACACATATAACAACACATTTACCTGCTTGTTTCTGTTGCAGTTTTGTACATTAATATTGAAATTGGCCAGACCCAACAATCTGAGTAGAGTTCAAAATATTGGCTTAGTATGAAGAGAGATCATTAATCTCAGAAAGAGAGACATGGTATCTTTTCAAATATTTCAGCTTTAATGTATATATAAATCTTTTATCAACACTATAAACAGTAGCATCATAAGAAACTTACACTTCAATTAATTAGCATTTTCAAGCCCCAAAATGCTGTTCTTATGTCAATTAATGACTAAGACACATATACATTTTTTCAAGAGACTATGAACACCCTCCTCAGGGTTTTTATTTACTTTTTCTCAGTATAATACAAGGCCCTGTCCACACGAACATGGGTCATTTCAACAGATACATTTTCAAAACAGCACTTTTTTGTAGTCTGTTTCGCTTTTTGTTCATACAAAACTGCACTTACTGAAACCGAAACTTTCTTTCGATGTAAATATTTCATAACTCTGGGTACATTGTGGTCACGTGGACACTACAACTGGAGGTTTCACCTCATGATGTCAACATGAGCTGTTTTTTTTGTTTGTTTGTTTTTCCTTTCTGATTGGCCATCATGGTTGGGTTCACGCCAAAAGCGGAAGATAAAAATGAGGCAAAAATCCTAAAATCGCATCAAATGCATCCCATATTTTGTGTCGTTTGTCTGTGGCATGATAACCCGCCTCTGTTTCTCATGTTTTTGCATTGACTTGTATGCAATTTATTCATGCAAATACTTAATTTCCCGTTTGGAGTGAACCCAGTATCAAAGTGTCATTATCACCTCCTGTTGATTTACTGTACCCTTAAAATGCATCATAGTGCGTTTTTGCATTTTTAAGGACAAATTACAAAAAAATACGAAAGTGGGGAACACCCTATTTATAAATATACCTGTGTACATGTGGACATGGCCTTAGTAAATATTCTTGAAAATATATTTTGTGTTCCACACAAGATAATCAGTGAGATGACAGCGAGTAAATGAGACAGAATTAACATTTTTTCTGAACTATTCCTTTAAAGGGCACATAGTTTACCCCTTTTTAAAGATTTAATATTTCCAATATGGTTTTTCTGAGTTTGCCAGTTTAGGTTCAGTTCAAAACACAATTTAAATTATTTTATTATAATGTGTTTAAAAAAGTGTCATTTTGGGGGCGTGTACACAGGGGGTTGTTTTAGGGGCATGTTACTTTACATGAATATTTGTTTCGACTTCCCGCCCAACGTAACAAGGAGGCGGAGCCAAAAGCTCCCCCGCTTTGTGTTTGGCAACAGACAGGAAGACAGAGAGAAGCAACATGAGTGAGAGGACCAGCATTTAGCCGATGGTGCTATGTGGCTTGGCAGAAATATGATGTGTCCTAAGTCGTGGCGGGGCGCTGCGGATAGAAACCTATGTTTAGAATTCTAAAATGCATGGCGCTGCATTGCATGATGTTATTTTATTTCCAATGGAGGGACACGCATGTGAGGCTCGCTCGCACTTTCCAGCTACACCTAGTTAAGATCACAGGGAGCTTCTGTGATAGCGAGAAATGCAAACAGCTAAAATTTAAGGTAGACGCAATGAAAAGTACACATGTTTGCAAACCCAACCTAAAGTTAAAAACAATAATTCCGATTAGAGTGATCATGTGGTGAATATTGATCTTGTGTTGAGCCCAATGAGCCTTACATCTAAAAATAGAGCAAGGGTGTTCCTTTGGTGACATCGCTTTGAGTCACACGCTGAAAATGGCGGAAGTGAAACAACAAACTGAGGATAAGGTGATGCACGTCTGTCATTCAATATTGGTGTGCAGGGGGACCGCACTCCTACATCAAGTTGCGGTCGATCTTATAACCATTCCAATTGCTCCATCGTTTTATGTTGTTAAATTGAAAAAAGGACAGGGTGTGTTTATATCACCCCAATATGATGGTCTATACTCTATACTTACACACCTGTCTGTCCCATCAGCTTGAAAAGTAGATTTTTCACCATAGGTGCCCTTTAAAAGATACACTGTAACAAGCAACAAATGACTTTGGCTCTGAAGTACTCCACAAGTGTTTGTCAAAGAGCCATGAATGACAGCCGTCACTTCTGTTTGAAGTAGTGTGTTCAAAGCATACTATTAATTTCCATGATTACATTCAAGCCAACTGGTCGAGACCTATTCCTACACAGTGGCATCTTCTTGGAAAGGACTCTCTGCAATCCGGTGGTCTAAAAGTGTAATCAACACCCCACAACATGACCACAGATTTTGACCCTTGAGTTTCAAAATCAGACTTGACCCAGTCTGGTAGCATGAAGTTCCAAATACTAGGGGCTCTATTGATCCTCAAGAAGTTTTCATTCACAAAAAAATACAAATAAAAATACTCCATCCTTGTCAGCACAACCCGGACAGATGGACAAAGCAGGAGGAAGACAACATAACAGGCAAAACACTTTGTTGAGTAGGAGACAGGTCCAAATTCGCATATCAAACCACATCCTGGATGCCGCCGTTAAACTTCCGGGTGCAGACCTGAGCATGAGAAGCTCCTCTTAAGGAGTAAAGCCCCATCCTGCAAAGAACAGAGCGATTAGATGTTTCTTAACAAGCATCAGTCTCTCTGGCTTGAAGTATCCATCTGCACACCGTCAGTCTCACCTTTTAATGCGGCTGATCTGCTCGCACAGGAAGGACAGGTATTGAGTGAGCTTCACCATTGCGATGATAAGCGTTCCCCCGACAAGGGTGCATGTGGGCCAAAGGAGCGAGCTGATGATCGCTCCGCGGCCGTAGAGACGTGTCAGAAGTACGCCGTCCTGCTGCTCTGAGGGGTCATAATAACACAGAACCTGCTGGTGCATCTTGAGCCGCTCCGAGATGTTCATCACTATGGTGTGCATTAGTGTTTGCTCCTTTCGGCACTTTGGGATGTAAAAACACTGCAGGGGAAGAAAGAAATCCACTGTAAATAATGCTTGCTGCCTTAAATTGAAGAAAATGTACTTACATCAATCAAACAGACTAAAAATAATGAGTTAAATTTTGTATAACTTACAAAATTTAGTTGAAGCCTGATTAACTTATTAAAATAAGTTAACGGAACATGAACATATTTGTTGTCTTGACTTTTTGCATAAGACTTTTTGCAGTGTGGATTTATTTGGAAGTATTTGGTAATGCCATTTTGTGTCTTATACTTATCCCAGGCTTATTAAAAATGTGTGCCTTAGCTTAATTTGTTTGCGAAACATAAAATACAGGTATGTTTTATTGCACTTTTTAGATGACCAATCTACTAAAGGGCGCTGTTTACAGTTTTGCAAAACTGAAATACATGTTGTTGTACATTTCAGATACACACCTATTTTGTACATGTCTATGAGAAGGTATTTCCTATGGTACAGATCACCAAGCAAAAGACTGATCTAAGCCCAACCAATAGTGTTTTCAATAGCAAACTTAAGAGAAAATTGCACTGCGATCATCCAGTTTTACCTTGATTTTGCATTGCTTTTATCTGTTTTGTTTAAACTACGTCAAATATATGTTTAGATATGTTTTTGCGATTTCACAACTATGTAAGCTAAAGCATTCATTTACAATGAGCCTGTGTTGGTTATACTGCATGGAGCTCATTTGTCATCCTAAAAATAGCATACTGAAATATCATTTTGGGGACAGTTTGAGAATTGGTCATTTTTGGTAATTATGGTAATTAAAAGTACATTAACAAATGATTAGCATGACACAGATGACTTAGTGGTTAGCACTGTCGCATCACAGCAAGAAGGTCGCTGGTTCGAGTCCCGGCTGGACCAGTTGGCATCTTTGATGTGACATTTGCATGTTTTCCCCGTGTTTGCGTGGGTTTCCTCCAGGTGCTCAGTTTCCCCCACAGTCCAAAGACATACTACTAATTAGATTATTAAATTGGCCGTAGTGTATGAGTTTAAAGTAGTGTATGAGTCTCTTTTATTTATTTATTTTATTTTTTAATTTGTTTATGAAGATCATAAGGACTTCTGAACCCTAATAAACCTGACAATCTAATTTTAGGTACAATTTTGCTGTCAGAAAAATGTGGAAAAAAGTTGTTGTTCAGGCATTCTTAAATGCACCGTACTTGTATTTTGTGGTAAGTCATCTGCTTCTACTATTTCAAAGTACGTAACACTTGTTTATTCACCTTTTCCGCCGACGAGCGGGCGCTGCCATTTGAATCTTTTTGGCTTGAGACTTCCGGTCTCATTCACTTCCATTCATTTTTTGACGTTAAGTGAAGTTTATTCATAAACTAATTTCGAGAGGAGCACATGATTATGATTGAACACAGCTGGTTCTGCATTAGCATGCATGATCCACCAATCAGGCCATTCCTAACCACTATAAAGAGCCAGGGTTTTTTCACTACAGTTATCTTCGATTTGAAGAATCCCCCCTTCCACCCCTACCTCTTTACCTTTCCCTCCATAGGGCAGCACGGTGGCCCAGTGACTAGCACTGTCGCCTCACAGCAAGAACGTCACCAGTTCTAGCTCCTTAACAGGCCGGTGGTCGTTTCTGTGTGTAGTTTGCATGTTCTTCCCGTGCTTGCATGGGTTTTCCCCGGGTCCTCCGGTTTCCTCCCACATTCCAAAAACATGCACAACAAGTTAATCGATAAATCAAAATTTTCAATACAGGTAATCTAATAATGCAACATATCTTTTAATAGCTTTAAATTTTTAGTCTTTAGCTATTATCAAAGGGGAGTTGTCAAGATCTACCTGAGCTCGAGGCTCCCCTCTCTTCCTCCAAACGGGAGGGAGCCCAGGGCTCAAGAACCTTCGAGCTCAGGGCTCTCTCCCGGGACAGCATGCCAAACTTGCTTATAATCAATCATCAGCTAAGTGTGAACTCTTGAAAAACTGCTCATTACGCTGCTTGATGTTGCAATTTGATATTTTCTTATTATATTCTTCTACTTGGTCTGTATAATCATGAAAACTTTTGTTTGTTGGGCAAGTAGTTTGACCGTTTTCTGCCATTTATTATTCCTAGTCATTTCTCCCATAGGCGACTGAATCGGAAGTTCTAAAACAAACGTGAAAACAGGCGCACTTCCGCATTTTAGAATAAGGTCAATAAAATAAAATTTATAAGTGAGCAATCTTGATTTGCCTTGATTAGTAAAAAAAGACATTATAAATGCTCTACTTTTTGGAGCATATACAAACCTTGCATTATTAAACATAAAAAATAAAAGTACATTTTCCCTTAAATAACTGACTTTTTTTTTCGGATAGTGTGATTTATAAACATTGATTTATTTGGTTACTCATAAAGGTGACTTTTGTTTTGTAACATTCATTCATTCATTTTCTTTTTAGCTTAGTCCATTTATTAATCCGGGGTTGCCACAGGGGAATGAACCGCCAACTTATCCAGCACATGTTTTACGCAGCTGATGCCCTTCCAGCTGCAACCCATCTCTGGGAAACTTCCATACACACTTATTCACACTCATACTCTACGGACAATTTAGCCTACCCAATTCACCTGTACAGCATGAAACCTGAGCACCCAGAGGAAACCCATGCGAACGCAGGGAAAACATGCAAACACCACACAGAAATGCCAACAGACCCAGCAGAGGCTCAAACCAGCGACCTTCTTGCTGTGAGGCGACCGCACTACCTACTGCGCCAATGCTTCGCTCTGTTTTGTAAAATAATAATGTAAAAATAAATCAATGTCTTCCCCATGCAGAAACTAGATTTTTACGGTAATGAAATTACAATTGTATTTTTTATAGCATCATGTCACAGAAGCCCACACATCATTATTTATTGGTGCTACGACATATCCCTATAGACCTTTTTCTTGGAACGCAAAATTACCCATTATGCTTTGCGTGTATGCACAAGGAGAATGCGAAGAACTTCCGGTCGGCAGCTGATGCGTGTAAACAGTCACATTTGGACAGCTTTGAAACGATAGTTTTAGTCTATTTTACCTGCTTTTATCCTCTTTGAACTAGTACTGTTTTCCATCAGCACCATCTCCTGGACTGATCATTTAAAGAAATGTGATCTAATAGGATGCAAAACAGCTGCTGTGAGGCATTTTCCCCTCGTTGTCAGCTAAAGTCAACATTTTCTCTTTATTTAAAAAAAAAAAACACAAACCGTGGTGAATTCAACACACGAAATAAAACACAAACGGTTCACGATTAAAATGAACAGCAAATCAGCCAGCAGAGTATCAATAACAGACTTTTATTGGTCATTTTTGTAAATTGCACGACTTTTATACCTGTTAAGTTTCATGCCAGTACTCTGGTTTGCTCTCTCTCTCTCTCTCTCTCTCTCTGTGTGTGTGTGTGTGTGTGTGTTAAAGAGCTGCTGAGCTAACAGCTAACAGGCCGGGAACGCACACACACACTATTTTTGAAGGCAACGACACGTGAACTAGGAGAACGTTTTTCTCGTATTTCTGAAGCGCTTGAACCACATGTGACAAATTATAACGGCTTTAACAGACACATTTCTAAGTTGTGTGTCACAAAAACACTCTGTTATCCATTAAAAACGTCATTGAAACCCATTTTCGGAGCGCAAATTGCCAGTTGTACATGCTGTAAACGGAAGTTTTTAGCATTCTACCAGAAGACGCTGGTCGCTATGGCGCCCTCCATGCAGCAGCCATGAAAAAGGTCTATAGGTAGTGCATTTGTTTAGGTGTGGTGTACCTCAGGATTGGCCTCATGCGCTTCCTCGTTGTATGAGAGCCGCTGAACTTTACCAGAGTCCAAACTGACATACACTTGAAGACAGGGATACCTGGAGCTTTTCCGGCACTCTGAACCACAGCTGTAGCTACAGTTAATCTCAGCAACTACACTCGAGTTCAACACTGTGCAGTTTGACTCCTCTGTCCAAACACTGAGAGAAAAGAAACAGAGATGTACACAGTTTATAATGACATTACAATTATTAATTGTAAAGGATGAGTTAAAGGGAAATATGCAACACTCAAAAACTCAAAAAATGACTTTTGCTGCTTGTTCAAACTACTTATTTGAAACAACTACAACACTCAGTCAAACAACACACTCACACACAACTGGCTCTAGATAATGACTGAGAATCTGGCAGCTCTGGAGGATCTAGAACCGGTCGTGTGTGTGTGTTGTATGACTGGGTGTTGTAGTCCATAACATGGCGGATTTGTAGTTCATGTGAATGTAAGTGTGTTTACTAGCGATCTCTGGTAATAGATCGCTGTTGATCGTGACAATTATATTGCCTTTTGCAAGTTATTTTGCAGTTTTAATCCAATTTCAGTCAGACACTAAAAATCATGTTCAGTTTTCTCTGAAAAAGATAAATATTATAATAATAATATTAGTAATATTATTGCATGGGTTTAATTAAGACGACATTTGAAGAGTTCAGATTCAAAGTAAATTTTAGTGCAGTTTTTGCGATCTTTATATTTCATAGTGCACTTTAAAACACTTATGTCATTTTGAACGCAGCCATGATGAAAGCTATAGCTGACCTATGGAAAGAGCAATCTACAATACGTCTTCAAAGCTTGTGAAAACAAAAATATATAGGCTACGTTAATGATTTGGGTTTATAACAGCGTAAGCTATTCATTAAGAAATGTATATGTACTGTATTGGGCCTATGCTAGAACATTTCTGCGGTGGTTTGAATGTGTCAAAGATGTAAAAGTTAACTACTAGACTACTTAAAATGATATATTTTATATTTTCATTAAATTAAAATCATTAACGTGAATTATAAATGAGATTGGAATATGTGTTAGCTTTTTGTAAGTGGTTTATGGTTCACAATAGACTATAGAATATTTTCAATAATATTTGTAAAGGAATCATATATGTATATGTATATGTTTTTACCAAAGCTAATATAGATTTTTTTTTTAAATGTGTGTGCATTTAAAACAATATATTTCGCACAAAAATAAGTTATGTTTTTTTTTCTAAAGAAGAAAAAAACATGAATGTGTGTCAGAGAAACTATGGTTTTGGGTAGCATACGTCACTACTATTTTTTTTTTTTAACTAAACGATGCATTGCATGATAGTTCAGCCACGAGTCGTTGTTTGGGAAACACACTTCTGGATAGGGAGCTAAAATCACCATGCAATAAGAAATGCAATACTCTTTTTAATACCCATTTTTAAAGTAGAATAATAAATAATTGTAGTGACTCCAAACACTTGTGTTGGCATTAAAACAAGAATTATGCCGTAGCTCTCATCATATGTGGATCCATTTTCAAGAAAAAAAAAAAAAAAACATGTGAACTTCTTTTCAAAATTAGTTTGTTTAAATTATTACTATACTGATTTAATTTCTCTTTTTTTAAGTAAAATATGCCACTTGCTGAGATTGTATTGAATAAATAATAAAAAAAAAACAGAAAGGCTACTAAAAAAAACCAGAAAAGTCAAGATTTTTGCTTTTATACATGCAAACCCACACAACCCATTAAAGACTCACTATTGCCTCAAGATCTGTAATCGAAGATGCTTTTATTTTTAGCTGCAATGATAACACACCTAAGCTTAATATGTGTGCATCAGGGTCACCCTCCATGTGTGCGAAGGTACATATTGGTGATTTGGCCCTCTGTAGTGACTGTGGTCGATCGTATGTTAGCGGCTGTCTTTGTGCCAGGCCTGTTGTCTCCTTTGAATAACAGGCCCTCATGTTCATCTTCTGGCTATTCTGAAGGCTCAGCTGCCTCTTTAATTGCCTTTGACTGCAGTGTTTGCCAGCGCTTATCTGTGTGCATCTCTAGTGGGTCAGTGCTCCTTTAAAAGGACTCTATCAAAGCCATTTTCTGCTTCAGCGTAAGGTTAAACATTCTAAGTGTTAGCGTGAAAGGGGGATGGGATGGATAAATGTGCAGTACAGCTTGGACAATATAAGTATTTTTTGCACTGACTTATATTGTTAGGAGACAACTTTTCATAACCTGTTAAGGAGAGTTGTATGAATTCTGATGAAAAATCTGAATAAAACTTGACTGTTCGGACATATTGTTGTAGCAATGCAGCATTTACTATTTACAACAATATTTTGTATTTTTTTCCTTAAATTATCAAGTTAGACATTCTGTTCAGACTTATTTTTTTGTTCCTCGTTGTAAAAAATCTATGGGCTAAAGAGCTTTTATGTTTAAAGGTCCAAAAGATTGGAATAATTTACCTGCAAACATTCGATCCATTACATCATTTAAGGTCTTTAAGCAGACTTTGTTATCATATTTTACTTTGGATTGTACTTGTTTGTCCTGAGGATGTTATTATTTATTTGGTGATTGATTTACTGATCTGTATATAGCTTTTCTACATATATATACGTATGCGTGTATGTATACTTCTCCCTCCCCCCAACCCTTTTTTTTTTTTTTTAAACTTTATTTTATTTATTTATTTTTTTAATGTTATGTCATGATGGTACATCTCAAGGGGTTTATGCCAATAAATAAATATCACATATTTAAGAAGCTTTAGATTGTTTTTTCCCTATTATTATATTTTTAATAGATGTACATTTTAAAAAGTGGTATTGCTGTGTTATAGAGAGGCAGATGTTGTTAATTTAACATGTTATCTTGTCTTAACTGTTTGTTTCCTCTTGTAATGCAGGATTAAAAATTTTTTTTTCAGCAAATTGCAACACAAAATGTTTGTTGTATGTTATAGTTTTAATAGTACATTTATAGTTATGCTAATGTGTCTTAAACTGAGACAAATGAAAGTAAAGGAATGTTTTTATTCTTCAATGTTGTAATGAAAAGAATTCTGAGATTATGAAATTTGATCAAATGCACGTTTGAAATTAGGTACATTCGCATTTATACACTTTGATATGTTATGTTCAATATGTTCAAACATTTTATAACAGTGATACACTGTAAAAAGTGAAAACTTTAACAAATTACTTTGACTTAAGTTTGACAAACTTAATTTAGAACAGTTTTCAGTAATAAATTCGGTTAGGTGTAACAAGTTTTAGTAATTTATTTTATGGCAGGTATAAGTATTGTTTGCTATTAATAGTGAGCAATACTTGTACTTGCCACAAAACATTTAAGTATTATTATATTAACATGGAAAGAAAACTATTTGTACTTTAATAAAAGCATTTTTACTTAGTGAAGTTTATGTATAAACTAATTTCGAGAGGATCACGTGCTTATGATTGCAAGCGGCTGGATCCGCATTATTCAATTCACTATGCTCCAATCAGATGACTCCTAAACTACTATAAATACCCTGGGTTTCATTCCACTGCTATCTACGTTTTGAAGAGTCCCCCCTTCCACCCCTACTCCTCCTTTTTCCTAGATGGGTGACACGGTGGCCCAGTGCGTAGCACTGTTGCCTCACAGCAACAATGTCTCTGGTTCCAGGCTTTACCAAACCAGCAGACATTTCTGTGTGGAGTTTGCACTTTCTCCCCGTGCTCACGTGGGTTTCCCCCGGGTTCCCCGGTTTCCTCCCACCGTCCAAAAACATGCAAATTAAGTTAATTGACTAATCCAAATCAGCACAATAGACATGCTTCTAGTATGTAGTTATCTCCAAGAGCAATCACTTACTGTTCATTGGTTACTACAGCAGAAGGGTTCTCGAGATCTACCTGAGCTCAAACTCCCCTCCTGCCTTGCAACGGGAGGGAGCCCTGGGCTCGAGGATCTCATGAGCTCAGGGCTCTCTCCCGGGACAGCATGCCAAGCTCTTATAATCAATCATCAGCTAAGTGTGAACTCTTGAATATTGTTATATTAAAAATACCATATTGAATGATTTGTACTAAATGGATTTCTTGTTTTCTTAAATTACTAAAACTTGTTACACCTAAAATAACTAAATTACTCTATTACTGAAAACTGTCATAAAGACTTGGCAGATTAAGACAGAATTAAAATCAGAATGTATGTGTGTGAAACAGAAACTAACGTCTCCCACTGAAACAATTCCTGTTCGAGGGCTTTAGTATAAAAGAAAATACATTTTGTTGTATTTTTCAATTAAACGTTCTGCTCGTCATGAGATGGCGCTTGTCTTACAGATAGGCCAGCAAACAACTGACCTAAACCCTTCCATAAATCCCTTATTTTTTCAAAAGGACCACTTCTTTGTCCTTGATTTTACATGATCTCTTATGGAACTATGCTTCACCAGACTCAAACACATGTGCTTTGTATTACAAGTACAAGACTTTAAAAAAGTGAGCTATTAAGAAAACTGACCATGGCAGGAAAGTTGTCCATATTAGGTGAGGTAAACATATTTAATTAAAAATTATTATTTTTATGGTATTTATTTTGTGTTGGTGTTGTGCAAAGCACTGCAAGAAAATAAACCCTTTCTGTTGGTAATACATCCCTAAAAATATCATTTTTGTGTAAATAAAGAAAAGATTTTGTTGTCATACTGCCCCATTTTATTTATTCAACCTAGAAACTGCTGCAGTCAAGCGTACACTATCTGGCAAAAGTCTTGTCATCTATTCAAGTTTTAGGAACAACAAATTATAACTTGACTTCTAGTTGATCATGTGGTATCAGAAGTGGCTTATATGAAAGGTAAATGCCTCAGGATTACACTTATTTTACCAAAATAAAATGTGATCAATATTTTAAATTATTTAATAAGGACAGTAAGGTCTGACTTTGCTTAGACAAAAGTCTTGTCACTAACAGAAATAATATAAAGTCATGGTGCAGTGGAAAAAGAGTTAATATTGTGTACGACTTCCATGAGCTTGGAGGACTGCATCCATACATCTCTGAATTAACTCTTAACTTATTAATACAGTCACATGGAATGGCAAAGAAAACGTTTTTGCAGGACTCTCAGAGTTCACCCAGAATCTTTGGATTAATCTTTAATGCCTCCTCTATCAATGTTCATATCTGGTGACTGGGCTGGCCAATGCTAGAGAACCTTCACCTTCTTTGCTCTCAGGAACTTTGATGTGAAGGCTGAAGTATGAGAATGAGCGCTATCCTGCTGAACAATATGCCCTCCACTGTGGTTTTTAACGTAATGGGCAACGCAAATGTCTTGATACCTCAGGCTGTTGAAATTGCAATCCAGATCTCTCGCACGCCGCCATACTAAATGTAACCCCAAATCATGACTTTACCTTTACTTGACTGATTTCTGTGAGAATCTTGGGTCCTTGCAGGTTCCAATTGGTCTTCTGCAGTATTGGTGATGATTGGGATGCAGTTCATCAGATGATTCATTGAAAAAATTCTACCATCTGCCACTTTTCCAAATGATCAACTAGAACTTAAGATAGTATTTCTTGCTCTCACAACTGGGATCAACGACATGACTTTTGTCAGGTAGTGTATGTTTAAGTACATTTTTGTGGTTTCACAAAATTGTAGGCTGAATCGTGAGTCATATTTACTTTGGCTTTCAGTGTATGCATTTCTCTACATGAGTGGGTAATGGCCATCCTTACCTGTCTGAGTAAGAACGCACCATTGTGATGCCCAACACAAAGTACATCATGGCGGAGCATAGGATCATGCTGAGGCCTAAGAGAATGGCTCTGTCCTCTCCAGCCTTCAGCGCGGTCACCGTCCTCCTCTTCTCCAAAATATCATACTCTCGAATCTTCTGATAAATCGTCCTGCTTAAGGGACACAACGATCGAAAGATGCACAAAGAATTTAAAAAAATCATCATGGATTAATAAAAACATGGTGTGTCCATGACCTAATATAATGAAATAGTATATTATAATAAGTTCAACAGTTTTTGTCAAAAAAAAAAGGTTTAAGTTCAAGGGTGAATGGTTTATAAACTCAAACTAATGACACTCTGCTACTGTCCAATTGCATATGCATAATAAGTTCCTTTCCAAATATTTAGCTCATGATTCTTTAATCGTATTTTAACAGCAGGTTGAATTGCTTTTGAAGATTATGCATGGATATGAAGGCAAGCTGTCTAACCTGTCTATCTTTATCAGTGACCTTTTGATAATTACTGTGAGTGTAGTCAAAAGCATTACAAAATCTCAGCCCACTTCCTGCGAATAGCTTACGTCAGAATCTAGTTTGTTCGATGAAACCTATGCTAATGCATACCTCAAGGATAAACAATTATAATGACTAAAACTACTACAACTAGTGTGTAATTCTCTATCAAAACTCTTATATTGATTCATGTCAATCAAATTGCAACATCAAGCAGTGTAACGAGCAGTTTTTAACGTCAAAAAATGAATGGAAGTGAATGTGACCGGAAGTCGCGAGACAAAAAGATTCAAATGGCAGCACCTGCTCGTCGGCGGAGAATAAGGTGAATTGTATAAATAAAAATCTACTAATATGTACTGTTTGAGTAGCATTTAAACAGATTGTTTAATAAGTTTAAATTTTTGGTTAATCTTAGATTGAACACCATTCATCTACAGTATAAAAATGCTGTAAAATTGGCCAGTGCACTGTAAACTTTACAGTATTACTGGCAACTAAAACTGGCAATAACACTTTAAATTGTACTGCAATTTTTTTTGTGTATTTATCACATATACATTACTTATCACATTTGGCATTGCTTAACTTGAAACAAATTTGGTATTTTATCTTTCATTTTTAAATACAGCATATACAGTATAAAGATTTTTTTTATATTAACCATTTATGAGTCATCATTCATTTAATAACTTATCACTTTGCCATAATGACAGACAACTAATGACTGACTAGTTATTTACTTACATTGAAACTGTTAAATACTAACATTTAGTTTAAAGTACAATGTAAATGCTTAACTTTTAATCAGGTTAACTATGCAGGTTTGTTCTAAAAAAAAAAAAAAAACATGAATGAATTTAATTAAAATAATAATAAAAAAAGCTTTTATTCCGATCAAACAAAAAGAATGTTTTTTTTTTTTTTTTTTTGTGAAGAAAAGAATTTGTTAACAGAACAGAAAAAAATACAATTTGCCTTCACCTATATAGAGTGCATCCGGAAAGTGTTCATAGTGCTTCACCTTTTCCATATTTTTTATGTTACAGCCTTATTCTAAAATAGATAAATTTCTTTTATTTCCTCAAACTTCTACACACAATACCCCACAATGATAATAAGAAAAAAGTTTTTTGAAATTGTTGCAAATTTATAAAAAATATAAAACCTGAAAAATTACATGCACATAAGTATTCACAGTCTTTGCTGTGGAGCTCTAAATGGAGCTCATTCTGTTTACAATGATCATTCTTGAGATGTTTTAGCAGCTCAATTGGGTTCACTTGTGGTAAATTCAGTAGATTGGACATGATTTGAAAAGGCATACACCTGTCTATATAAGGTCCCAGGGTTGACAGTGCATGTCAAAGCACAAACTAAGCATGAAGACAAAGGAATTGGCTGTAGACCTCCAAGACAAGATTGTCTCGAGGCACAAGGCTGGGGAAGGTTACAGAAACATTTTTGCTGCTTTGAAAGTTCCAATGAGCACAGTGGCCTCCATCATCCGTACTGTAAGTGGAAGATGTTGGGAACCAACAGGACTCTTTGCTGGCCGGCCATCTAAGCTGAGTGATCGGGGGAGAAGGGCCTTAGTCAGGGAGGTTATCAATAACCCAATGGTCACTCTGTCTGAGCTCCAGCATTCTTCTGTGGAGAGAGGAGAACCTTACAGAAGGACAACCATCTGTGCAGCAATCCACCAATAAGGCCTGTCTGGTAGAGTGGGCAGACGGAAGACACTCCCCGCCCGGAATTTGCCAAAAGGCATCTGAAGGACTTTCAGACCATAAGAAAACAAAATTCTCTTGTCTCATGAGACAAAAATTTAACTCTTTGGAGTGAATGCCACGAGCTACAGTTGAAAACAAAAAACAGTGAAGCCCTACAGGGAAGCATCGTGGTGGCAAAATCATGCTGTGGGGATGTTTTTCAGCACCAGGAACTGGAAGACTAGTCAGGATAGAGGGAAAGATGAATGCAGCAATGTACAGAGACATCCTGAATGAAAACCTGTTTCAGAGTGTTCTTGACCTCAAACCAGTGCGACGGTTCATCTTCCAGCAGAACAATGACCCAAAGCACACTGCCAAAATATCAATGGAGTCGCTTCACAACAACTGTCCTTGAGTGGCCCAGCCAGAACCCCGACCTAAATCCTATTGATCATCTCTGGAGAGATCTGAAAATGGCTGTACATCATTGCTTCCCATCCAACTGATAGAGCTAGGGAGGTACTGCAAAGAGGAATGTGCAAACATTCGCAAAGACAGGTGTGCCAAGATTGTGGCATCATAATTTAAAGACTTGAGGCTGTAATTACTGCCAAAGGTGCATTAACAAAGTATTGTGCAAAGGCTGTGAAGACTTATGTTCGTGTGATTTTTCAGGTTTTTTATTTTTAATAAATTTGCAACAATTTCAAAAACTCTTTTCACATTGACATTATGGGGTATTGTGTGTAGAATTAAAATAAATTAATTGAATAATTTTTTTTAATAAATGTGGAGGTCTTTAATGTAACATTAAAAAATGTGGAAATTACTTTTCAGATTCCCTGTATATATATATGTATATATATATTCCCTGTATATAAAAAAGAAAAAAAAAAATTAAAATAGGGTCTAATAATTCTGACTTTAACTGTATATATAAAACACCTCCTTAAAGAGACCGTAGACAATAAAGGTTAACATGAATCTGTCACAGCCAGGTGATTTAGTTATTTCATCCAGTCATTTTACTGTACCTTCTCTCACTTCCTGATCCTTGAGCTGCTTTGCTTCCAGCCCACAGAAACATTCTCCCCGCTCTTCCACAGTGACCGTCTCTCTCTTAAGCACTTGCAAAACACTGCTGGTGGTGCGACCTGATGCCAAAAACACACTCTTAGTCCACCATGTGCTTCCCTCCACACACACACACACACACCCTTCAACACACTATTTAAAAGTACAAAAAGATGAATGTCTTTCTTTATAACAGCACACAGTCTTTAGTGAGTTTACATCGCAGATCACAGAATCAAACAAACGACTCCATTGTTGCTGATAAACAGAGTAAATCCAGAGAATCCATCAAAAAGAGAGAGAAAAAAAAGTTTCTGTAATCCTCAGCTGCGAAGCAAGTCCGTCTCACGTGGTAAATACAACTCACACAAGGCACTGAACTGAGCATCTGCTTCTTCATTTCCTGCCTGTTGGTTTGTTATTGACTATTCATGGGCTGGCAAGTGGCAGGCTGGAAAATAATAATGAGAGTAGTGAGCGACCATTCACAGCATTGATCCTTTTCTTTAGTCCTGGCGGAGAGAGAGAGAGAGAGAGAGAGAGAGAGAGAGCAAGAGAGGCATTCAAAGCCTCCTCCTCCTCTTCCTGAACCCTGCTGCTGATTGGTGTTGATGGAGAGTTCTGGAGAATGAAGGTGACACAGGTGTTTTTGACTACACGCTTGCGACTGAATGACTGCTCACTCACTCATGCCATCAAATGCTGTCTAGTTCTGGCTGACGCATGTCGGTAAAATGGTGTGAGATCAACAGCATGTGCTTTTTGTGGAGACTATAGAGCGTTTGACTGGAAACGTCAATGTGAATCGAAAAACTGCACTTGAGTTGCTGTACAGGAAAAGCCATTTATTTCAATGATCAGTTTGCAATGCTATCTTGATTTGATCCAACATTTAACATTTTGATTTAGTAGGATTTATTATTATTATTTTGAACAGTTTAGTATGATTTGCTCATGTTTCAATGAGGGATACTGTAGGTAAAGTGTTGAGGTTTGGGCCACATCCTTTTTTTTAATTTTTTTTTATTAATGGCACATTTTAGTATGAAGTCAATATGAATTCATGTGAATTAGCCACTTTTTAGCCAATAGTTATGTTTTTAAATGTATTCATTAAAATTATTTCCACATATGTCTGAGTATTATGTAAGCAGCTATAATGCCCCACTTCCTTTTGAAAAAAAAATAAACATTGTTAGTTTGTTTTTAATATACAAATTCAATTATGAAATCATTCATGTTTTTTGACGGTGGGAGAATACCGGGGAAACCCACGTGAGCACGGGGAACATCGGCTGGCTTGGTAAAGACTAGAACCAGTGACGTTCTTGCTGTGAGGCAACAGTGCTAACCACTGGTCCACCCTGAGTAGGGGTGGAAGGGGGGATTTTTCAAAACGAAGATGGCTGTGATATGGAACTTAGGGTATTCATAGTGGCTTTGGAATCGTCTGATTGGTGAATCATGAATTGAATAATGCTGGGCCAGCTGCAAGCAATCATAAGCACATAATCCTCTCGAAATTAGTTTATACATAAGCTTCACTTAGCATGACCATTTATAAACAAACATGTCTGTAATGATTATAACGTTTTAGCACTCTCTGGACATTTTAAACTTGGAGATGTAATGTAATGTAAGTTTTTCTTAGTTAATGTTTGTTAATGTATTTACTAACATGAATCAAGTATGAACAATACTTGCACAGCATTTATTAATCATAGTTCAACGTTTACCAATGGATTATTAAAATCCAAGTTCACCCTTGTTAACGTTAGTTAATGCAGAGCAAACATGAACTAACAAGGAACAACTGTATTTTCAATACACTGTAAAACCCAGTAAGTTAAGGTAACTCAAACTGTTTGAGGAAACCAATTGCAACAAACCATTTAAGTTCAAAAATTAATCTTAATGAGTACTGTGAAGTTTATCCGTTTGACTAAATGAAGGAATTTGAGCACAGTTAAACCCAATAAATGAAGAAAACTCAAACCAACTAAGTATTGTAAAATCCAATAAGTTAGTTCAATAAGTTCAACTCAAACCATTTAAGGGAAACCGATTCCAACAAACCGTTTGAGTTAAAAAACGAATCTATGAGTACTGTAAACTTACTTCAATTAAGTTGAAGTAATGAGGTATTTAATTAACTCATTACCTTCAACATTGAGTTCAAAACGTTTGGCCAGCAGAGAAATTTAAATGGTCGTGCCCAACTGAGTCTGCTTCTCTCAAGGTTTTTTTTTTTTACTCCTATCAGGTGAAATTTTTTTTCCCTCTCCGCTGTCGCTACTGGCTCGAATGGTTCAGGATTGGTAGAGCTATGCATCGATGAATTTGCTCTTCAGTGTTTGAACTCTCAGTAATGATTTTAAATCACACTGAACTGAGCTAAACTGAACTGAACTGAACTTAAACACTAAAAACTGAACTACACTGTTCCAGTTACTATTACCATTTATGTGAAGCTGCTTTGACACAATCTACATTGTAAAAGCGCTATACAAATCAAACTGAATTGAATTGAAAACTCTTTTCAAATGAGTAGAATTAACTTTCAGTAAATTTTGAGTTAACTACACTCATTTCATTTGATAAAGTTGACAATTGGGTTTTACAGTGTACCTAAAATGAACAAACATGCACAATTGCTGTAATAAATGTATTGTTCATTGTTTGTTTATGTTAGTAAATATATGACATAACATTAACTAATAGTTTATTTTAAAGTGTTACCAATTAAGTGTTTGGAACATGGAATTGAAATGTTTGTAAATATACAGCCACTACAGAACTGTACATTTTGGTATGCTGTTAGGCTGGTTAACCGACTGAGCATTCTGCACCCACAAAGGTGAACAGCAATGTTTTATCTAAAATGAAAGTCTGCAAAGCAACGGTGAGCAAATCTCCTCAGCAGTGGAGTGCAGTAAACGTTAGCAATGGGAATATGCTTTATATCATGTTTGTGCAAGTTTACTCTCTTGCCTGTGTTGAGTGCAGCGGCTGAGAGGGCGATGAACTAGATATGAAGCTATATCAGACAGGAAGCGCTGACCCAAGAAAACCCATTGTCCCCACTGCACTAAATAAAATACCTGCCAAAAAATACCAAGGCAAAAAGGCGCCAGGAGAACCACATTCAGTTTGTGCTTAAAAAGCTTAGTTTGTTCGGGACGGTTTGTGTTTGTCACATTCGGGGAATCAGTTAATCATTTTCTGAAACACTCAAAATGTACAATCCCCCCCCCCCCCCCCCCCAAAAAAAAAAACCAAAAAAAAACAACAACAACAATAATAAAATAGAATTATCAACATTGGTATCTACTGGAACAATTGGCTTGTTACCGGTCACCTTAGTTTGGGAAATAAAGTCTTGTACATGCGCCTTTTTGTGGTACAAAACACAGACATCTGGCATTCACCCAAAACATCTGGAATGTTCATCCGATGAGGCTGTGCATGATGGGATTTACCAAACCCGTATTGTCACTGCAGTGATTTATGAGCCGTTGTTGGTACTTCACATTAGCTTGGTGGGATTAAAATCATTTTTAAAAAAGCTGCTGAAGAACAGTTTGAGAGTGAAATTTACAGATCTTTTTCAAAAAGCGTGGCGTAGAACGCATTAATAAAATGTGTTACATTGTTCTAAATAAAAGGTATGTGGCTTATGCACAAAAATTCTAGAAATGGTTTTACAGTTACATTTCCAAACCTAGGAATTGGCCTTAATATGATCTGATCTGGTTTTGGCCAGGGGTACACGGTGGCTAAGTTGTTAGCACTGTCGCCTCACAGCAAGAAGGTTGCTGATACAAGTCCCGGCTGACCAGTTGGCATTTCTGTGTGGTTTACATGTTCTCCCTGTGTTCTTGTGGGTTTCCTCTGTGTGCTCCGGTTTTCCTCATCGTCCAAAGACGTGTGGTAAAAGTGAATTGACTAAACTAAATTGGATGTAATGTATGTGTGCATATTCCAGCATATGCTGGAATAGTTGATGGTTCATTCCACTGTGGTGACCCCTGATAAATAAGGGACTAAGCCTAAGAAAAATTAATGAATGGTTTTGACCATATTATGAAGGGTCATGAAAATATTTGAACTCTCTGAGTTCCTGATGCTCACAAAAATTGGTGTACTCTGCACAGCATGATGTACTATGAAATACACATGTAATAGAGGCCAGCTAGCGAAGTGCTAGGCAGATAAACCTCACTCCTCTGACCTCGAAAGGTGCTCTAACGACAGACACTAGAGGCCATGGTCTTTAGCTTCCTTGCTAGTGAAATTAACTCGCATACGAAAAATCGGCGGTTCAATCCCAGCTCAAACCGGGTTGGGTGCAGTTGGGGGCTCGTCCGGGATGTAGTGAGGTTTAGGGGGGTGAGTGTAATCAAGTGCTACGCAAGTAAACCTCACTCCTCTGACCTCTAAAGGTGCTCTAGTGACGCTAGATGTCATGGTTTTTAGCCTCCTTGTTAGAGCAACTGACTCCCATGCGAAGAATCGCCGGTTTGATCCCAGCTCAGATCGGATTGGATGCAGTAGGACTGGTGGGTTGCACTTGGGGGCTCATCTGGGATGGAAGTGAGGTTTAGGGGGTTGAGTGTAACGAAGGCCAGCTAGCGAAGTGCTGTGCAGGTAAACCTTACTCCTCTGACCTCTAAAGGTGCTCTAGCGATGCTAGAGGTCATAGTCTTTAGCCTCCTTGTCAGAGCACCTGACTCCCATGCAAAGAATTGCCGGTTCGATCCCAGCTCAGACAGGGTTGGCAACAGTAGGATCGGTGGGTTACACACAAATGCAAAAAATATTTTAGTTGGTTACTTGATTAATGACAGTTTTTTTTCCACATGGAGTGTTAGAGAGGTTTTTTTTAAGCTAGAAGGAGTGCTCTTTGTGCCACCAAAGTAACTAGTTGGCATCTGAGTTTTGCTTTGGATGAAATATATAGGTTACATTATGATCGTACTTGACAAAAGAAGCAGACAGGCATATATTTACAGTTGTATTTTGTCGTTTTAATGTATATGAAACTGGCCAACATTATATTTTGCATCACTAATCGCACTAA